GAGGGGTCAGTGTGCGAGTGGTCAGTGTGCGAGGGGTCACTGTGCGAGGGGTCAGTGTGTGAGGGTCAGTGTACAAGGGTGGTGGGTCAGTGTGCGAGGGGTCAGTGTGCGAGGTTCAGTGTGCGAGGGGTCAGTGTGTGAGGGTCAGTGTGCGAGGGGTCAGAGTGTGAGGGGTCAGAGTGCGAGGGGTCAGTGTGCGGAGTGTCAGTGTGCGAGGGGTCAGTGTGCGAGGGGTCAGAGTGCGTGGGGTCAGTGTGTGAGGGGTCAGAGTGCGAGGGGTCAGTGTGCGAGGGTCAGTGTACGAGGGGTCAGTGTGCGAGGGGTCAGAGTGCGTGGGGTCAGTGTGCGAGGGGTCAGAGTGCGAGGGGTCAGTGTGTGAGGGTCAGTGTGCGAGGGGTCAGTGTGCGAGGGTTCAGTGTGCGAGGGGTCACACTGACCAGTGCAGTGCTGTCCACTCTCTGTGTTGTCTCTGTCTAATGGAGTCCCTCACTCTCTGCAGACGACCACCCTGATTGGTCTATTGAAGACGGCCCGCTTGTTGCGATTGGTGCGAGTTGCTCGGAAACTTGACCGTTACTCGGAGTATGGAGCCGCTGTCCTCTTCCTGCTGATGTGTACCTTTGCCCTGATCGCCCATTGGCTGGCTTGTATCTGGTATGCCATTGGCAATGTGGAGAGAACATTTCTACAGCCGAAGATTGGCTGGCTGGATTCTCTCGGTGAACAGATTGACAAACCTTACAACGAGAACGATACTTCGTCAGGCCCAAGCATCAAGGACAAATATGTCACTGCCCTGTACTTCACCTTCAGCAGCTTGACCAGTGTGGGATTTGGTAATGTCTCCCCCAATACTAACTCCGAGAAGATCTTCTCCATCTGTGTGATGCTCATTGGCTGTAAGTACCTTGTTCCCGACATCCCTCATGAATTGGTTGGTAGCTGAGGGCAGAGACATGGGAATGATTTACGGTGGGCACTCCTGACACTGCTGTGATTCCCAATTGACCCACAACTGCCCTTTGTTACTCTGTCAGTGTTACAGCAGTCCCTCGGGCAGTTTCCTCTCTCCGATTTCAGGGGGGATAGTTCCTTCTCAGGGAGACACGCATGGTCAATGAATCCTAGACCTGGATTTATTCACTCAGTGGGTTCTAGATGTCAGAAGTTTCATTTACACCATGAAAAGAGGCCATTCAGCCCATCAAATACTTACTAATTTCCCAGGGATCAATCCAGATTCCCTGACTCTGTCCCTGTGCCCCTGAACAGGGATGTGTATCATCACTTTTGGAAATTATTGATTGTTTTATTGTGGGTCATCCTTACAACCTGCCCACATCCCTCTCACCCTGGTTGTAAAACCACACCCCATCCACCCCACCCAGCCCTGTGCTGAGAGTTAGACCATCAGTGAACAGGAAGAACTTTCTGTTTTGAATTTGCCAGCTTGTCCTCACCCCCATGCTCCCCTCAATCCCCCATGCTCCAAGGAGAATAACCATAACTTCTCCACCTGAGCCTGGTAACTAAGCACCCCTGTATTCTGGAACATTGTGTCATCGTGGTCTTACAGCATGGAGAGAGACCATTCAGCCCATCATTTCCGAGCTAGTTATCAAACATCCATCTATTCTAACCCCATTTCCCAGCACTTGGCCCATAGCTGTGTATACCTTGACAGCACAAGTGCACATTTAAATCCTTCTTCAATGTGATGAGGGTTTCTATCTCTCCCACCCTCACTGGCAGTGAGTTCCAGATCCCCACTGCCCTCTGCGTGAAAAAAAAATCATTTCTTACATCCCCTCCTAACCTCCTGCCCCTTACCTTCAATCTGTGCCCTGTGGGTACTAAGGGTACCCTCTCTAAAGGGCTGAGGGTGTGCTTCCTGATCAACACTTCCTGGTGCTCAGATGTAGTGACCCCGGGAAGCCATCGCTCCCTGGACCTAGAGTACCTTACAGTAAAATGCTGCCCCTACTATCTGCCGTGAGAGTTTATCTCTGCTATCCTGACAGCAATCTACATACCACCCCCTGGGGATGTGAGGAATGCCCTAGACATGATGCACACTGCTGCAAACACACTAGAGACAAAATTCCCCAAGTCCCTATTCTTTGTGGCCAGCGACTTCAACCAAGCCAACCTCAAGCAGGTGATGCCAAAATACCCCCACACATCATCTGCCCCACCAGAGGACTGAACATTCTGGACCACTGCCTCACAACCTTCAAAGATGTCTACCGCTCAATCCCCTGCCTGCACTTCGGAAAACCTGACCACAGTGCTGTGTTCCACCTCCCAGCTTACAAGCAGAAGCTAAAACGGGAGGATCCTTCACAAATGGAAGTACGATGCTGGTCCGAGGCAATGGAAGACGGTCTCCGGAACTGCTTGGACTCGGTGGACTGGACTGTGTTCAGTGGAAAACCTAGACGAGTACGCCACCACCATCACGGACTTCGTTAGCAAATGCATGGTGGACCGTGTACCAAAGAAGTCAATCCGAGTGTTCCCCAACTGTAAACCTTGGATGAACCAGGAAATCCGCTCCCTACTGAAGACCAGACATGCAGCAATCAAGCCGAGTGACCTGGACTAATACAGAAAATCTAGATATGAATATGACCTCTACAAAGCCATCAGGGAGGTCAAGAGGCAGTACCGAACCAAGTTAGAGGCCCAGACCTACCAAAAAGACTCCTGTCTATGGCAAGGCCTAGACAACATTGCGGGATACAAAATGAAGCAGAGCAAGATAGCAGACAAAGACACATCCCTCCCTGATACGTTCAATGCTTTCTGTGCTCAGTTTGAGCAGAATGCTAGTGGCTGTGGTGATGCATGCCCTAACAGCCCCAGACATACCTGTTCCCTCTGTCACCGCTGCAGTGTCAGATCGGTCTTCCTGGGAGTCAACCCAAGGAAAGCAACAGACCTGGATGATGTCCCCAACTGAGCGCTCAGATCCTGTGCGAACAACAGTTGGGGGTATTCACCGAAATCTTCAACCTCTCCCTCCTACAAGCTGAAGTCCCCACCTGCTTCAAAAAGACCACTGTCATCCCCGTACCTAAGAAAGCACGTGCAATATGCCTTACTGATTAATGCCCGGTAGCTATGACCTCTATAATCATGAAGTGCTTCGAGAGGCTGGTCATGGCCTGCATCAACTCCAGTCTCCCAGCTTGCCTTGATCCCCTACTATTTGCCTACCAACATAACAGGTCCATAGCGGATGCCATATCCCTAGCCCTGCACTCGTCCCTGAAACAGAGAAGTGTACAGCACAGGAACAGGCCCTTCGGGCCATGATGTTGTACCGAACATGAGGCCAAATTAAACTAACCTCTTCTGCCTGCCCTTGGTCCATATCCCTCCACTCCTTGCACATTCATGTGATTATCTAAAAGTCCCTTAAATGCCCCTTTCATATCTGCCTCCACCCCTACCCCGGCAGTGCGTTCCACACTCCTGCCACTCTCTGTGTAATAAATGCCCCTCACATTTCCTTTAAACTTTCCCCCTCTAACCTTAAATACATGCCCCTAGTTTTAGACATTTCAACTCTGGGAAAAAGATTCTGACCATCAAACCTATCTATGCATCTCATAATTTTATATACTTCTATCTAGTCTCCTCCTCAGCCTCTGCCGCTCCAGAGAAAACAACCTGAGTTTTTCTAGCCTCTCCTTATAGTTCATACCCTCCAATCCAGGCAGCATCCTGGTAAACCAGTTCTGTACCCTCTCCAAAGCCTCCACATTCTTCCTGTAATGTGGCAACCAGAATTAAACACAATATTCTGAGTGTGGCTGAGCCAAAGTCTCATAAAGCTGCAACATGACATCCTCAGAGATAGTAAGAACTGCAGATGCTGGAGTCAGCGATAACACAGTGTGGAGCTGGAGGAACACAGCAGGCCAGGCAGCATCAGAGGAGCAGGAAAGTTAATGTTTCGAGTGGAGACCCTTCTTCAGAAATGAAGAAGATGAACTGATTGTAGAAGCTGAAGAAGGGTCCTGACCTGAAACGTCAGCTTTCCTGATGCTTTGATGCTGCCTGGCCTGCTGTGTTCATCCAGCACCACACCGTGTTATTTATAACTTGATTTCCTGCCTCTTGTAGTCAATTCCCTGACCAATAAAGGCAAGCATGCCATATGCCTTCTTTACCACCCTATCTACTTGTGTGGCCACTTTCACAGAGCTGTGGACTTGAACCCTATGATCCCTCTGTACATCAATGCTGTTCAGCGTCTTTTTCCTTAACATTAATCTCCCAAAATGCAGCACCTCACACTTACCAGGATTTAATTCCATCTGCCATTTCTCTGCCTATATCTGAAACTGATCTATACCCTGCTGTATCCTATGACACCTTCCACAACATCCACAACTACACCGATCTTTGTATCATTTGCAAACTTACTGACCCACCCATCTATATTTTCATCCAAGTCATTTAAATATATTACAAACAGCAGAGGTCCCAGAACGGATCCCTGCAGAACACCACTAGTCACGGACCTCCAGCCAGAAAAATACCCTTCCACCACGAACCTCTGCCTTCCATGCACAAGCCAATTCTGAATCCAAGTGGCCAAGTCACCATAGATCCCATGCATCTTAATCTTTTGGATGAATCTACCACGAGGGACCTTGTCGAAAGCCTTACTAACATTCACGCAGACAACATCCACTGCTGTACTCTCATCGATTATCTTCATCACCTCCTCGAATAATTTAATCAGGTTAGTAAGACATGACCTGCCCTGCACAAAGCCATGCTGACTGTCCCTAATTAGGCCATGCTTTTTCAAATGTGCGTAAATCTTATCCCTAAGAATTCTCTCCAAAAGCTTGTCAACCACCGATGTGAGACTCACCAGCCTGTAGTTCCCTGGATTATCCCTATTCCCCTTCTTGGACAGTAAAGCAACATTTGTGAACAGCATCAAATTCCTCGGAGTGACAGTAACCGATGACCTGTCCTGGACTTCCTGTGTAAATGTGACGGTCAAGAAGGTACAACAATGCATCTTCTTTCTCAGGCCACTCAGGAAATTTGGCATGTCCATAAGGTCCCTCAATAACTTCTACCGATGCACCATTGAAAGCAAACTGTCCGGGTGCATAACAGCCTGGTATGGCATCTGCTCTGCCCAGGACTGTAAGAAACTACAGAAGGTGGTGTGCACAGCCCAGACCATCACGGAAGCCAACCTTCCATCTACGGACTCTATTTACATGGCCTGCTGCCGTGGAAAGGCAGCAACATCATCAAAGACCCATCGCACCCCGGTAATGCTCTCCTACAACCTCTTCCATCAGGCAGAAGATACAGAAGCCTGAGCAGACGCACCAGCAGGTTCAGGAACAGCTTCTTCCCAACTGTTATTAGACTGATGAAAGGACTCTCTAACTTCAAATAATGCTGATCTTGTTAAAGTTGATCTTGCCTAGCGCGCACCCTGTGCAATGTAACCTTACTGTATGCCTTACTCTGTCCAAGATTTTCCACCCTATATTCTGTATGTCCTTGTTTACTATGATCTGCCTGTACTGCTTGGAAACAAAGCTTTCACTGTACTTAGATACATGTGACAATAAATCAAATCAAATCAAATATCTAACCTGTCCATACCCCTCAGAACTTTGTTCACCTCAATCAGATTTCCTCTCTCTGCTCTAAAGAAAACAACCTGAGCTTATCCAGCCTCTCTTCATCGCTGGATCGCTCCACCCGTGGCAGCATCCTGGTGAATCTCCTCTGCACCCCCTCCAGTACAATCACATCCTCCCTATAACGCAGGGACCAGAACCGCACACGGTGCTCCTCACCAAGTTCCTGTGCAGCTCCAATTTATAACGTTATAATCTATGTTGTGACTAATAAACGCAAATATAAACCATCTCATCTGCCTGTTCTGCTGCCTTCAAGAATGGACATATACACCAAGGTCCCTCTGATCTTCTGTACTGCTCAGGGTCCTACCACTTAGCGTGTACTCGCTTACACTGATCATCCTCCGACAAAGCATCTAAACACACGATTCAAGATTAAATTCCATTGGCCACTGTTCAGCCCATTTGACCAGACTGCCAATATTGTCCTGTAGGATACTAAGGTTTTCCTCCTCACTATTTACCATAGTTCTCAGCTTATCTGTGTGATCATCCTCACACAGATTCCTGTCCAGATCATTAATAGACGCAACACAGTAGGGACCCAATACCAAATCCTGTTAATCTCCTATAGATCCCTCAGCCTCCTCACTCCCTTCCTGAGTGTATTTCTGTGTAGTCAGTGTGTTCCTGAAGTGGGTGGGAATTTATATTTCTAGTCTGTTAGCTCTCACTTTCTCTTTCTCTCTCTCTCTCCCCCTAGCTCTGATGTACGCCAGTATTTTTGGGAATGTGTCTGCGATAATTCAGCGACTGTACTCGGGCACTGCCAGGTATCACACACAGATGCTCCGGGTCCGGGAATTCATCCGCTTCCATCAGATACCCAACCCACTGCGGCAGAGGCTGGAGGAATATTTCCAACACGCCTGGTCCTACACCAATGGCATCGATATGAACGCAGTGAGTCTGAGACTGAGCAGCATCATGAACAGGTTACCAACTGAGCTTGGCATCTCCCATGCTGGAGAAAGAGAAACCGGAGAAACTGTCAAATGACAGATGAGGGACACTGGTCCGACTAGTCCTATATCCCTTAGAGTGCGATCCCTTCAGTCAGATGTTGGTTTCCACAAGGAGGTGATGGCCTAGTGGTATTATCACTGGACTGTTAACCCAGACACCCAGGTAATGTTCTAAGGACCTGGGTTTGAATCCTACCACAGGAGATGATGGAATTTGAATTCAATAAATATCTGGAATTATGAATCTAATGATGACCATGAATCCATTGTCAATTATCGGGAAAAACCCATCTGGTTTACTAATGTCTTTTACGGAAGGACCCTTACCTGGTCTGGCCTACATGTGACTCCAGACTCACAGCAATATGGCTGACTCTTAACTGCCCTCTGGGCAATTAGGGATGGACGATAAATGCTCCCCTATCCAGCGACACCCTCATCTCATGAATGAAGAAAATGACTGTTCCTGGTTTGTAATTGGATTTCCCCCCCGGTATTTGATATTCCACAGTGTCCTTGTGAGAAACAGTTGACTATCTTTTAGTTCAATGAACCATGGGCATTGTTAACTGGGCCCAGCATTTATTGCCTGTTCCTAGTTGCCCTTGAGAAGGTGGTGGTGGTGAGCTGCCTTCTTGAACCGCTGCAGTCCATTAGTTAAGTAAATAGACCCACAATGTGCGGGTCTCACAGTCAGTGTGCCTTTAAGAGACGACCCACAATGTGCGGGTCTCACAGTCAGTGTGCCTTTAAGAGACGACCGACAATGTGCGGGTCTCACAGTCAGTGTGCCTTTAAGAGACGACCCACAATGTGCGGGTCTCACAGTCAGTGTGCCTTTAAGAGACATGCTCATGGCATCGTCACTGCATCATGATATCAGTCTCATACTTCATCTTACTCTGGATGACATGAAGCATGACACACTACTGGAAGCATAGCCCAGAATTATAACTGAATACAGTCTCCAGTCCCTGATGTGACTGAGGAATTTCCTAATGGCTAGACATTAATTATCCCAGTGAGCATGGGGCTGTGCACAGGGACCCTGTCATCGGAGCAGACTCTGGGAAATTGAAGATTCCATTGGGAGTTCCTCTCCTGCCTGAGATCCTCTGGAAGCCTCTATTTAAAACAGATATTTCGAAGGATTCTAATGAAATTATGTAAAAAGGTTAAAATCTATCATTGAAGTAACTGCCGAGTAGCTGTTAAAAAAAGCCCGATACTGATCCCATGCAAACTACTCATCTCCCATCACCCCCCAGACCCTGATCAACACACCCCAATCATTCTCCCTGCCTCCCCCTCCTCTGCCTGGACACAAACCCCTGTCCTGACTCTGCACACACTGAACTCTTCCTCCAGTTCCTCCTACCTCGGCAGCCTTGCTGTCTGTTACCCACCTCTCCCCCCTTGGGGAGACCCCCCATTCCCCTCCCCCAGATCCCCTCCTGTTTCCCCCCCCAATCTGAACCACATCTGCTTCCCCACCCCTGAGATCCAGTCTCTGGTTCACCCCCAGTCTACACCTCTCCCCTCCAGACTGGGTTCCCATGCATCCCCCACCTCCCATTCCCCTTGAACTACCCTAAACTAAACATTGCATCACGCCACCTTACACCTTGGCACTGTACCCCTTACCCACAGATATCTGACCAAAAGGGCCCCCTACCCTCCTGTGCCCCCTAATCTCACATGTACCTTACAGACGTAGAGTTGGGCAGTTCCTGTCAGAATGGCTGTTGATGCCAGTAGCCAGAAGCTGACCTTACTGTGGTTTCCCCTTTCTCTGACAGTTCTACACCCCGACAGAATGAAGGCTAGCTTGACCTTTCTGAGGCAGGCTTGAACAGAATCTCCACTCAGGCTTTCTTTTGGAAAACAGGGCTGAGTGCACTCCTTAGAAAATTCAGCTCAATGTTCATAAATAATAGTTTGGTTCGAACACGCCCACCATACCACATTATGGGAGAGAGTCAGCATTGCTCCATCAGACCCTTCTTAGGCAAACTCACAGCCAGCTCTGAATGTTGATAATTCACTGACAGAGACTAATTTCTCTGCTTCGCTGAGATCCTGATTGTGAATATGTGACTGTCAGGATGGTTGATAGTGAGCTAGATCAGACATGATCCAGGAAATGCAGCATTCCCCAAAGTGAATGTCTTTCCCTACCCATGCCAGGGATGGGGGAATTGAAAACTAGAGGGCATAGGTTTAAGGTGAGAGGGGAAAGATTTAAGAAGGACCTGATGGGCAACTTCTTCATGCAGAGAGTGGTGCGTATATGGAAAGGGCTGCCAGAGAAAGTGGTTGAGGCAGGTACAATAGCAACATTTGAAGAAAAAACATTTGGATAGGTATATGGATGGGAAGGGTTTAGAGAGATATGGACCAAATGCGAGCAATTGGAACTAGCTGAGTGAGCACCAAGGTCAGCATGGACCAGTTTGGGCAGAAGGGCCTGTTTCCATGCTGTATTACTCTGTGACTCTAATCCACTGTATGTCCTTCATCTCTCACTTGGAGAGAGATCCTTGGCCCACCCATCTTCAGCTGCTTCATCAATGACCTTCCCTCCATCAAAGGGTCAGAAGTGGGGATGTTCGCTGATGATTACACGATGTTCAGCACCATTCACAACTCCTTAGATACTGAAGCAGTCTGTGTTCACATGCAACAAGATCTGGACAATATCCAGGCTCGGACTGACAAGTGGGAAGTGACATTCACACCACACAAATGCCAGGCTATGACCATCACCAATAAGAGACAATCTAACCACCACCCCTTGATATTCAATGCTGTTACCATCACTGAATCCCCCACTATCAGCATCCTGGGGGTTATATTGGATTAATTAACCAACTTGTAACTGCAAATACCTTCAAAAATAGGAGCAGGAGTATGCCACTCAGCCCTTTCGGGCCTGCTCCACCACTCAATATAATCATGGCTGGCCATCCAACTTAGTCCTAGTTCCCACCTTCTCCTCATTCCTTTTGATTCCTTTAGGTCTAAGGGTTATATCTAACGCCTTTTTGAAAACATTAACTATTTTGGTTTCAGATTCTTTCTGTGACAGAGAATTCCACAGGCTCATCACTCTCTGGTGAAGACATTTCTCCCAATCTCAGTCTGAAATGTATCCTTAGACTGTGACCCCTGGTTCTGGACTCCTTGCTCATCCTGTGTTTACCCTGTCTAGTCCTGTTAGAATGTTATAGGATTCCCTGTCATTCAACTCCGGTGAATATATTCCCACAGATTTAATCTGCTCATACATCAGTCCTGCCATTGCAGAAATCAACCTGGTAAACCCTTGCTACACTCCCTCCGTAGCTAGAACACCCTTCCTTAGCTGAGGAGACCCCAAACTGTACACAATACTCCAGGTGTGGTCTCACCAAAGCCCTGTAAAATTGCAGCGTTACACTCCCAGCTCCTGTACTCGAATCCTTTCACCAAAAGGGCCAACATGCCATTTGCCTTCTTCACCTCCTGCTGCACCTGACTGCTTACCTTCAGTAACTGATATATGAGGATACCCAAGTCTCAATGCACCTCCCCCTTTCCCAATCTACTGCCATTCAGATAATACACTCCCTTCTACCACAGTGGATCACCTCATATTTACCCACATTATACTGCGTCTGCCAAATCCCACTGATTTATCTGCATCCTCCTCACATCTCACCCTCTGACCCAACCTTGTGTTGTCTGGGAGTGAAATTTTCATCACGATGCCTACCAACATGTCATTGTACCCAGTGCACTGGCCTACCCTACTCATGTGATCTGCTGTAAATGCGTGCTTTGTTCAGAATGTGTCAGTCATTCAACACATTTACTCAAACAAACCTCTACCTACTCTCTTCCCCTTTGTCCCCTTCCTCACTCGCTCCATTTCTCTGTGTGGGTGTGTCACTCTCTCTCTCCCTGACATCCTCTCCTCCCTGTCTGACTCTTTTCATTCTCCCTCTCCCTCGCTCCCACTGACACTCTCCCTCTCTCCCTGCCTCCCACTAACGCTCTCCTTCTCTCCCTGCCTCCCACTGACTCTCTCCCTCTTTCCCTGCCTCCCACTAACACTCTCTCTCCCTCTCCCTGCTTCCCACTGACGCTCTCCCTCGCTTCCTGCCTCCCACTGGCTCCTACCCTCTCCCTCTCCCCGTCCCCGACTAACACTCTCCCTCTCTCCTTGCCCGCCACTGACTCTCCCTCTCCCTTTCTCCCTGCCTCCCACTAACACTCTCCCTCTCCCTTTCTCCCTGCCTCCCACGAACACTCTCCCTCTCCCTCTCTCCCTGCCTCCCACTAACACTCTCCCTCTCCCTCTCTCCCTGCCTCCTACTGACTCTTCCTCTCCCTCTCTCCATGCCTCCCACCAACACTCTCCCTCTCTCCCTGCTTCCTCTCCCTGCCTCCCACTGACGCCCTCTCCCTCTCCCACTCCCTCTCCTCTCCCACTCCCTATCTCCCTGCCTCCCACTGACGATCTCCCTCTGCCTCTCTCCCTGCCTCCCACTGACGCCCTCTCCCTCTCCCA